AGCTTGAGGCTGCGGCGACTTTCGGCCCTCCCGAGGCCCGGTCGGTGCCTCTCCCGAGAAGAGACCGCGGCCGTTGGAAAGGCCTGAGGAGTCTGTAGGGGCCCGATGTCAGCACAGTGTGTGTTTCAGCCCCGGAGGGGGTGTCGTAAACCCGGTCTGAGTTTGAGTGGCTGTATAACGTGTGACAAGTATGAAGAGCTGTCCTGACAAGCTATGTCCTGCTCTCTCTGCAGATGCTGGGGAAGAGGATGGAGGGGATGGTGTCCGCGGTATGGGTTCGTTGTCTGTTTACCAGGTCGAGGATTCCAGACTGGGTATGTGCTTCAGTAGTTAAGAAACTGAAAAAAAAATAGATATTAGCCTATTGGGCTTCTTAATTTGGTGTTTTCTGCAGTAGGACAGATTTCTAGAGTCTGTGAGATGAGCGTGTTCGTGGTGTGTTGAAGAACTGGCTGAAGAGCAGAACCCAAAGGATTATACTGAACAGGACTACGTCTGGCTGGCAACAGGTCACCAGCAGTGTCCCTCGGGGCTCAGTCTTAGGGCCAGCACTGTTCAATATTTTTATCAATGATCTAGATGCAGGAGTTGAACACATCGTTAGCAAGTTTGCTGATGATACCTAATTGCGAGGTGGTGTTGACTCTCTTGAGGGACAAGAGACCTTGCAGAGGAGGGCTCTAGATAGATTTGAGCATTGGGCAATCATCAGTCACATGAAATTTAACAAGTGCCAGATTCTGCACCTGGGACAAGATTAATGTTGAGGTCAAGTCTAAACTGGGAGAGGAGCAGCTGGAGAGCAGCCCTGCAGAAAGAGATCTGGGGGTGCTGGCTGGCAGCAGCTCAGTCCGAGCCAGCCGTGTGCCCTGGCAGCCAGGGGTGCATCCTTCTAGGATGCATCAAACATGTCATGACCAGCTGGTCCAAAGGGGATTATCCCACTCTATTCATCATTGGTGCGGTCTCACTGTGAGCACTGTGTGTGATCTGAGGAGGGCAGCAATACTGGTGGAAGGGCTGGAAGGAATGTTCTGTGAGGAGCAGGTGGGAACTCTGGTTTGCAGAAAAGGTGCCCGAGGCATGATCCCATTGCTCTCCGAGGCTTCCTGAGGAGTGGAAGTGGAGAGGGACATGCTGATCTCTTGTCTCTGGTATCCAGCAATAGGACATGTGGGAATGGCTCAGAGCTGCACCAGGGGAGGTTTAGACTGGATGCAGGAGTTGAACACGTCATTAGCGAGTTTGCTGATGATACCTAACTGGGAGGTGCTGTTGACTCTCTTTGAGGGACAAGAGGCCTTGCAGAGGAGGGATCTAGGATGTTAGGAAGTGTTTCTTTACTGAGAGGGTGGTCACACACTGGAACAGGCATCCTAGAGAGGTGGTCAATGCCCCAGGCCTGTCCGTGTGTGAGGCGTTTGAACAATGCCCTTAACAATGTGCTTTAACTTCTGGTCAGTCCTGAAGTGGTTGGGCAGTTGAACTAGGTGATTGTTGTAGGTCCCTTCCAACTGAAATACTCTGTTGAATAGCTGAACTGAAGTGATGGAAAGTTTGACTTTAAGTTTACATTTTAGCTTATGTTTTTGCAAGATACTGAGTAGTGTCAGTTAACTCATTCTGAAAGAATTTACCATTCAGAGCCTAGGCAGAGGCTCTTCAACGAGATGCATGTGAATTCAGTGCTGTGCTGCTATAGAGTGTTGTCCATGTATTTCTGTGCAGTTGTATGGCCAAACCTAAGAGTTAATGTATTCATTAGAAAGCCATTATAAAGATATGTTTGGCTTGATGTTACAAAAGCTGAATTTGAGGTCACTTGCTGCTTTGACCTTCTGAAAACAAAGGTACTTAAACATGCAAGAATTTTTACCAAGGTTGAAATATGTTTTGGAGAGTTCTTTTTGCTAACTATAGTAATAATACAGATATTTAAGACAGAAATCTACTGGTTTTGTCAATTTTTTATTCTAGGTATTTCAGCCACGGCCTGGAGATCATGAAAAGTATGGAGGTGATCCTGAGAAGCCCCATAAAATCCACATTATTACTAGAATAAAAAGTGTAATTGGTCGCCCATATTGGGAAAAGAAGATAATACATGATCTTGGACTGGATAAAGTATGATTGTTGTTCTTTATACTTTCTGTGTACATCAGAAATGTAGAAACATAGGGTAGGATTAAGGTAGTGGGTTTTTTTAAGGACCTAAATTTTGCAGTCAGAAAACTTAAGATTGCTTCAGAGCTGCTGTAAATTTAATTAGGAAGTTGATAATCTGTTTAAGAGCTGAGGGGACCATTAATGGCAAATGCCTGTTTAGTGGGAATTCAGAATACTGCTGTGTAGTGTTGTTCTGCATGCCTGAGGAGAACTTCACCTTGAGAATTCTGCTAAAATGACAAAACCAGGTTTGTAAAAACTTCTAATTCCGTTTTCTCTGTGGGTCATATTAGTCAAGTATTGCAGGTTTTTTAATGGAAAGGCTTCCAAATCCAAAACTATTAAGACTTTGTATCAAAGATGTGTTTATCCAGATTTTTTGGGCCAACTGCACATTGTGCAAAGATTCACCTATTCAGTCTTGTATTACAGAGAAAAGGATGTGTGCTTGATCAGTTTAAGGTCTAACTGAAGCAAGGTCTTAAAGGTCTTACCTTTAAGCTCCTATATTTGCATTTACAGAAGAGATTTGAATATATTGGTAAAGTAATGGGAATAAAGCTGAATTTGTCATTTTACTGAAATTGTGTTTGATCAAGTTTTGATTTCGTATTTTTATGTATGTTCTTAACACATTACATTTCTCTAAACCTTTTATTTGCAAATGTGGTTTATACTTTTGCTGATAGTGTGAAAAGTTGAGTGATTTGTAAAAGCTGTTTTATTCTTTTTATAGGCACATAAGCCAGTACTGCACAAAAATACCCCTTCTGTGAATTCCAAACTGAAAGTTGTTAAACATCTGATAAGGTTTGTCAACTATGTTTAATTTGGAACATTTAATAGAACTCTTCTCTAGTCATGAGACTTAACTAAGACAAACTCTTTTCCCCTAGAATACAGCCACTGAAACTACCTTATGGGTTGCCAACGGAAGAGGAAATAGCAGACACCTTTCTTAACAGCCAGGGAGAACTTATCATTAAACGACGTTTGAAACCTGTGGAGCAGAAAGAAATTATGTCATAAGATATGCTGACTGGCTTTGTATTTTATAAAGTAAATAATCTAAATCCCAAATTAAAGGTTTGTATTCTTACTCTGTCTGGTATAAATGGCAGAAGTGACGCTGCTGAGGAGGGATTACATGTGTACAAATAAAATTCAATTTTGTTAATATTTGCTTGAAATATTAAATGAATGATAGGTTTTCTGTCCTCGTGTTTTAATTTTTGGCTGGATTACCACAGTTTCTGGCTAGCTGCTACAGAACTTTATTTATAAAGTCAGATAAGAAGTAAATAGAGTAGATTTATCTGATGATGGTGAGGACATTTCCCAGTTAACAGTGAAGGTTTACAGTGATGGTACACCTTTACTACACAAAGGAAGGAAGTGGAATTGAAAAACGCTCTGTTTAGGGGTTACATGAGAATTGACTGGCTGTCCATTGAGAGCGTCATCTGACTGAGGCAAGTGTTTGGGTGACTTACCTTGGTCATCGATGTCACGGTGTTATAATTGTTTCTTAGCAAATAGTCTGTCATCTGACCTCCTCTGTAGCTTGTAAAGTACCTGAACTTCCCATTCAGGAGTAATGGAAGGAGTGATTCACATCTGAATAGGTTGTTTTACTTATCCTTCAGGAAACAGCGCTAGCCTACTTCATGTGTATTTCTAGATCCTAAATGTTTAATATTAATAGCCTAAGAGCTGCAGTCTCTGTGAAAATCGATGCTTTTCCTGCTTTAAAAATGGCAAACTTTAGAAATCTGGAGACCGCGAAGCATACCTCTGATGCAAGTGAGTAATTACAGGCTGCAAGTTTATAAAATAACACCTTTTCCTGAAGGATCTTGAACAGTGCTGTAGTACTGTTAGTGGCAGCATTTTATTTAGTTTTAAGAATTGAAGCCAAAGTTAGGAAGCTGCTGCTGTATCAAAAGATAAAGTAGTTCTCGTTCCAGCAGGCGTTAAGTTCTATAGTTTACCACACTGAGCCTCTCCCACACTAGATATGCTGTAGAGAAGTTAATCTTAATGACTGCATGTTGTGAGAAGATGAGGAGGATACAGTCACTGAAAATGAATGTTTATCCTTTCTGAATACTTACAGAGAAGAGTAAACACCAGTAGGAGTTCAAAGGAGTAGACATATCAGTAGAGGGACATAAAAGCTGGAGAGGCTGCATGCAGTAGGAAAAGGATAGGCTATGGTAGTGGCATTGAAGAGTGGCTCTTAACGAGCAGGCCGAAGGCAGAAATGCAAAATTGATGTGAAAAACCTCAATTCCTCATCAAGATGCAGGCTGTAGTCAGAAGGGTGCAGAAAGTACTGAAGTATATAGACTAGCAAGGAAAAAGTGAAGCAGATAAATGAATGTTGCTTTTCTTCCCACTCTCCTTCTTTTCCCTGTCTGCCTAGCATCTTGTGCTGTGGTGTGTTGTAACTGCAGTCTCCATGTGGCACTGACCACGTTCCCACAGGGAGGTACTCAGTAAATCTGAAATTTCAGCCCTTTCGAGGGTCATGCGTAGAACGTCCGACATACAGCTCATGCTTAAAAGAGATGGCATGGGTACTAGGGTCTAGAAAATGAGGTAAATGTGTCTTGTTGCTGAGAGGTAGCAAATAGAAGACTTGTGCCAGGGTTGGTGGCCCAGAGCACCAAAGCCAGCGTCGCTCAGCCTCCTTCAGGATTCGTGTCCACGGCGCTGCAGCCTGGTGAATCTCCAACAGAGGGAGCGCTGCTCGTTCTGTCGCACACTGTGTGCGTGTGAATGTGCATGTTCTGTTCCTTACACAGATTCTACAACGTTCAGAAGAGATTTTACAGCTGTCTTCAGCTGACAAGCTGACAGTTTTAATGAAAAAGGAAATCATGCTTTGTTAAAGCTTTTAATATACGTGTAAGTCTAGGTGGTTCTGAAATGGTATTTCCTCCAATCTGCTGTCCCAGACCTTCTCTGTATAAGCATGTGTTCTCTAAAGATTTGCTCTCCAGTCTAAAATGTGAACCAACAGGGTGCACAAGCAGTGTGTGTCCATGTCCTTTCATTCATGGAGCATTGTAAATGCTTTGTGTAAATCTTCTTGAAGCACAGGTAAGAGACGCTGCCTTTATGTACAGGGAACAAACAGGCTGACTTAAGATGACAGCAAAATTCAGGTTGGAAGGTATCTCACAGGTCTCTAGTCCAGCCTCCTGCTCAGTGCAGGGCCAGCACTGAGGTCAGATCAGGTTGCTCAGGACTTTGTCCAGCCACGTCGTGAAAACCCCTGAGGACAAGGACAGCTGAGCCTCTCTGTGCAGCCTGCTCTGCTGCCTGGCTGTCCTCTTGTGGAAAGGTTATGTGCAGAAAATAGTCTTGTATCCAGTCTGAACCTCTCTTCTTTCTGCTTATGCCCGTTGTCACTTCTCTTCCCACCTTGCACTACTAGGAGGAGCCAGCCTGGCTCCATCTGCTCCAGTACCCTCACAGTAGGTACTCTGGGGCTGCTGTTAGGACCACCTGAAGTTCTCTTCCAGCAGGGTAAGTGCTCCGGTCTCAACCACCTTGGTGGCTCTGTGCTGACTTCACTCTCTTTACTTGGTCCTTACTGTGTCAGGGGGCCCAAAACTGAATGCTACTCTAGATGTGGTCTAACAAGCAGTTAGTGGAGGTGTATAATCCCCTCCCTTGGTCCAGTCGTGCTTCTGTTCATGCAGCCCAGGGAACCCTTAGCTGCCTTTGCAGCTTGGGCACACAGCTGGCTCACACTGAGCTTGTTTCTTGGGTCAGAACCATTTGCCTTGTCTACCTGCTGTGCCATTTAAAATCTATTTGAATAAATCTTTGGTGCAATGTGTGGTAGCAATGTAGAAATGTACTGGTTTTAAAATAGATTTCTGTGCTGTTGCTCTATTGCAGGTTCACTTTGGTAATTAATACTGTAGCACGAGTAGATCAATGCAATTTTAATAATAACATTAGGATATTTTTAATGGCGGGTACAAAATAGTAGCTATAAAAATGCACCATATTTAAAATAACCAACCAGGCATACCACACACCCTCCATGCTCTTTGTTATTTCTCTTTTAGCCCCTAGGGATAATGCTTGACAGGTTGGGTTTTTTTAACCACTCTGAAACACTTTTCCCCCCTGTGTCTTGAAATGCCTGAATAAACCCAACACCTCTGAAGCTTTACTAGAGGATTGATTAAAAGGATCTGTTTATTGCGCTTGAACTTGCATCAGATTTTTATAAACTACATGCCCTTTTAAAAAGCATAATGGAATGTGCCTATTCTTAATCCAGACTCTGCATTGAAGCTAATACATAGTTTCAGTAGAAGTATTCATTACAGCAGCTTGAGTTTTACAGATTGTTTGCAGCTGTAAAGGCTAAACTGAAGTAATATCAAGGGCAAAAAATTGTTAAGGATAGCTTAGTATTTTCCCTCCTGTCACAAGAAACAGCTACTTTGGGGTCACACCACCAAAGTTAAGAGCAATTATTCTGACAGGAGATGATACAGTATGATATGCTCCTCTGGTAGATTAAACATATGCAGTATTTAGAATTCAGGTTGGAAAAGACCCTTGGGATCATCAAGTCCAACCATTGACCCTACACTACAAGTTCACCCCTAAACCATATCACCCAACACCACATCTAAGTGACACTTAAACACATCCAGGGATGGCGACTCAACCACCTCAATTCCAAAACTGCAGATTGTTAAGAATCAATTTTGTACTGCTGTTAGACACATTATTGACCGATAAAATCTTTTTAAGCAGCATTACAACTTTCTTGCAGCATTAATATACTTTTTGAAAAACTACAAGCACAGATGAAAACTCTACTTGAATATTCCCGTGAAGTGAGATGAAAAATAAATGGCAAGAGATAGGTTGGGTTATTAGCAGTGTTATCTTTTAAAGTGATTTTTTTAGCCTTAGCTGTAAAAGAAACCCCATCATTGAAAGCTTGCACTTTTTTCTGGCTTCATTGCTCTCCCTCATTCTTACTCTTTCTGGAGGAGAAGCACAAGATTTTTTAAATTAGAAATGCAATCAGTATGCAATCAGTGACTTAAATCTAATCATCACTCAGATATCTCAGTATCCACTTCTCTTGTAAAACTTGGCTCTTGCAACCACATCATTGGCGTAGTCATTGTGCGTTGTGCCAACATCCATTCTTTCATAGCTCTGGACGTTGTTAGTTCCCGCATTATAGGCAGAAATGCCACCTGAAATGAGAGTGAGGGAAACACAGAGGTGATACTTAGTCAGTAAATTAGCAAACAAATGAAAATCACAATTTAAATGTGCTGCTTTAGTTTGCTGCTCTCTCTTCACCAATGTTGTATTGCTGTTTCCAGTTATTTTTGCCACTAAAGTGTTCCTTTAGTATTGTAACTTTGTGAAGGAATCGTAATTTTCTCCTTTACATCCAGACTTGGTAATCACCATCTCATTGCTGTATTTTGTTAATGTAACATCTTCAGTTGTGTGACTGTTTCTTTTTGTGCATATTCCTTCATATCTCCCCATGTTAATGACCTCAGACATATTTGTGGTATTGTTTGGATAGAGGGTTCCAACCATGACGGCTTCAACGGTAATCAGTGCTCAGGAATACAACCATGTTTCCTTCGGAGAGGACCATACATTTTCAAAATTAATATATTCCTTCTTTGGAGCTGTCAGGCTAGTAGCTTTCTATAGGTGGGTATAGAAACACAAAACAAATGAAATGGAGAGAAGCATGGAAAAAAACACCCGTATTCCTTCCTGAAAATGTTGTGGTACTTGCTATTTTCCAAAAGGCTGCTGGAGAGCTAGCCACATCTTATTCATCTGCTCCTGTTAGTGAGTGTCAAGAAATATTTTTCCATGCTTCAACAAAATAAAAAGGGGGACCGTGCCATGTTTAGTTTTCTGAAGTGCTCAGTTTTACAGCATTATTGTGCTTGATATGTGTGAGAAGGGTTTTAAAGCTGACATTTTAAATTTGAGGAAACTCTACCTTTGAGCTGCTGTTCCTTTGTCCATGTTGGGAATTTCTTCTGTATTTCCTTTACCATCCCACATAAAATCTCTGTGCCTTGTGCTAAGTGCTCTTCGCTGTCCCATGACCCGACAATCTTGTGGTACCGTTTGTCAACCTGAAAGTGAGACAGCAATGTCAGCACACCAGAAATCCCACTATTTATCTAGAACTTCTCATTGTTTACAGGCTGCTTGTATGAATTTTGACTTTGAATCTCATAATTTACTTCTAATTGTAGAGAGAGGAAGTAGAACAGCTCAAGGCACAGGTGAAGCCAGCAGATGCGTGAATAGCAGATTATCGGGGCAATGAGAAGGAATGCCTGCCTCGCATCTTTGTCTCTCAGAACCTTAAAAACCCAGCAGAGCTGCTGCTGTTTCAGCTTTTCCAGCTGCAAGGTGACCGTTCCTCTCCTCCCCAGCTACATCAAAGGTGGGAAAACCCTTGTTTCCTCTAGGGATCTTCCCTTGATCTCTGCCCTAGTTCTGCTCTCTTCCTTCTTCTTTTTCTCCACTTCTTATTCATGGGATAGTAAAGCTCAAGTCTGAGGGGGCTGGAGCTGTTACGAAAGTGAATCCTAATGTGTGCAGCAAATGTTTAGGGACTATAGGGATAAGTGTACAGCTTGGCAGACAAGCGAGGCGTGAATGTAGGCATGAATAATGGAGCAGGATCTCCCACTAGTCAGGCCCCTGCGGTGGATAAAGCATAATTAACCTGATTGTATGTAGCTGCAGCCTCCATGCCTCCATGCTTACTTCAAAAAAAATGCATTTTGAAACAAGATTTATTATTTAAAGTATAAAGTAGGAACAATTAATCTCTTCATTCCCAAGAGAGCGCTGGGAAGCAAGCAGTGGTTTCACAGTGCAAAGGCAGTCTGCTCATGCCCTGACGCTCACTGAGGTCTTTCTCTGGCTCTGGGAGCTGACAGACAGGTCAGTGTTTGCTTTATTCTGGCCCAAATGTTTAGGTGGTTGGCTTTTAGCAAGGCTCCTGTTGCTCTTCTGACTTTCTGCTTCAGAAGAAGTCTGGGGTTCATGTTTTTAAGAAGGCTGGCCATACCTGCATTAAACCAAATGCGTTTCCGTGGTCACCCCAGCCATTCTGCAGCACTGTCCCAGCGTGTGACTCTCGAGAGATAATACCAGCAATCACAGCTGGGTCAACACACTTGCTGTTGCCGACCTTTATAATCTTGGCACGGTACTTCTCCATGTTCTTCAAATCCTTTTCTGCAATCTTCTCTGAGGCGGTAACTCCTACAACACGATATGCATGACTTTTGCTTTTGTTTTTAAAATAGGAAACAAGTTGTTTTTAAAATAGGAAACAAGTTGTTTTAACAGTCATTATGGCTGAGCCAATATTTTGAATCCTTCTGAATCTATTTAGAGAGAAGCAATGATAGAATTGATCAATTTTGATGAAGGGTAAGTGCCCTAGAAATCAATTCACAGATTATGTAAAAGATGCTTTTTTCAAATGGTTCTCTAGCATCCAGAATAAAAGGCGGGGCTTCTTGTTTTAAATCTAAGCCTTTGGGTGAATTAGTCCCAGATTTAGTTCCTTTTAATTTAGGACTATAATGGGGAAATGTTCAGAAACTTAGGCCATGAAGGAAGCCTTAAGGGAGAGAGAAAAGCAGGATTGATGACAGGGGTTGGGTGCATCCAGCAGATCTTGCATTTCCTCTGTGACGACCTTGGATATCATCTTAAAGGCAACGCTATTCCCAACACAAACTTACATGCCCAGGAGGGTGAGCTTGTGCATGGGTGTAAGGGGAGATGAAGAACTGAATTAGTGCCTACCTGCGTAGCTCAGTCCTTCTGGTCTTGCAGTTGCCTCCGAAGCTCCATTTGTGTCCACTTTCAGTATATTCCCATAACGATCCCAACAGCCTAAGAGCAGGATTTACAACCAAATGTCAGGTCAGCGCAGTGCGTGACACATGCTGTTAAAATCATTTTCAGGTCCGCAGCTGAAGCCCACGGCGTTTGTGCTAGCAGATGTGGTCATAGTATTGTATGCGCTGGAAAGAATTACCTCTTGGTAATGCTAGCATAAAGCCGTGGGGTAGCTCGTGAGGTAAACCAATGCCTTGTGCCCAATTTGTCTCCCACAATTTTAGCTTGCCTAAAACTCAGCCGCTTAGTCTAAGCTTGCGACTTGGACTGCCTGCATAACCAGTGGAGAAAGGCACCTCCAAATGATGATTTTTCTCCAGAGAGAAAAAAAACATCTATGAGAGTCAAAAGAAATCCTATGCTACTTACTGGCTCCAGCTTGCTTTTCCATAGCTACTGCCAACCAGAAAAATTGAAGAGAAACATCCTTCAATTACATCCACTACAATTTATCTGACTCTCAGTTTGTTTGATTTGCAATTTATCTGCATTTATCTGTTGTCTAAACACAACATTGCAGAAGGGAATACACACAAACAGCAACAGAGAGGAACAGTGCTAACCTGAGCCCAGCAGTTAGTGGAGAACAAACTTTTCTACAGTGAGTGAATTATTTACAAGACTGTTAGACAAACGCCACAGACCTGACATCTTTGCTACAGGATGTCTCTCCGCCTTCTCGCTGCACTTCTGAGAGACAAATGGGCTTTTTATCTGCTGGCGGTGTTTTGCAACAGCTGACTCAGGGTACTTCCCACATACTGCTGGTGTTTAATGCCTAACAACTTCTTGTGCATCCACCCAAACGCGACAGTGTTTCCGCTCTACAGCACAAACACAATTATGATTTTAAAAATGAAATAGTTTTTAATTTCATTTAAAATCCCATTGCTAACAGTTTGGAGCTAGGAGGAGCCTCGTCTGAAAACAGCTGCCCCCCCTTCAGTTGTTGGAAGCAGTAGCTGACAAAGGGAAAATGGGAACTTGTGCTTTCAAATGTAATAAAGTTTTTGCAGGCAAAGACCCAGCAACAATAACATGACACAGAGCTGCAACCGCTGAGAATTTGGATATGCAGAGACTATGCCAGGTCCCTGTTGTTATCCCTTCTTTTACAACGACAACAAAGGCCAAGGCACAAACCCAAATTAGCAGGCAGCATGGATCGAAGCTTACATAGCTGTTCAGCAGTAAGTAAAAAAAGCCACTGGATGGCAGACCTCACTGCTAACCATCCTGACATGCTTCTACCCCACTGTAAATTTTGTAAGGGTGAAATTCTGTTTCATTCTTTCATCAGCTCTTTCTCATTTTAAGCTGGTGACTTCATCCTGTATCATTGTGTTGAAAGATCCAGTTCCGTAAATTTTTCTTGGGCTGTCGATACATCCCATAGACAGCCAGCTGCAAAAAGTCATGGCAGTCCATGCGTGGAGCTCTTCATGTTTGTGATTACAAGTGAGTTTAAAGAAGATTGAAAGAGAGGGAAGTAACATCTGGCAGGAGGGAAAATAAAACAGATATGACTCATACAAAAGTGACATTAAAAAAAAAAAAAGAAAATCCAAAATACCAGTGAAGATGATCCACAAACCAGTAATTTCCAAATGGCCTGTGCTACTGTTCCCTTATTGCTGGGAATGTTTTAATTTGCTTCTTCTACATCTCATTAACTGTGTTTCCTGGAAACCTATCCAGAAATGATTGTTTAATTATATATGCATGCGTGGAGCCTCACATACCCAGAGAAGTCTTTTCCTCAACAAACCTTTATTCAATCTACTGGAGGGGAATGGCATGTCCACACTGTGGTTCGTATCAAGAGCCCCATCACCTGCATGACGTTGGGCAGGCTGCAGCTTGCAGGATCCAGGAAGAGCTCAGGAGCTGCTGCAGGCTCAGGTCTCCAGGATCACAGAACCTGTTATGGCTTTTGCCAGTGCTCTTTGCAGCATCTCTTACTTGTCCCATCCCTCACTTGCCACAGGGGAGGCAGTACATAAGCCACACCACATTGTGATCCCTCCCACTATGTCAGTGGTGCAGGTGGTGGCTTTGGGCAGCCTCAGAAGCACCCCAAATTATGGTTTGTATCCTGGATTCCCATTGCACTCACTGTTAGTTGAAGCATTCAGCAACATCCAATTCAGACTCAGCTCACCCTAGTTTTTCTTGATCTTTCAGAAATGCTACAAAAAGCCTGTCAGAATGTAGGTTTTGCTTGAAACTTAGTGTTTTACGTTGACCTCACCACAGAGTGCTGTGAGCCAGCGCCGTGAGCCGCGGGTTGTCCTAACGTGCTGTGGCATGGGGGGCCAGCGCTTCTTCCCACCGTGGAGGCAGGCGCTAGCATTTTTCAGAAGCACATTATGCATTGATTGAAAGGGATTCAGAGAGTCATTTCTCGGTGTGGGAGTGAGAACTGGCTCATCCCCAAAAGTTTCATCTGAAGAATACCTGAAAGGGCAGAGTGATATCACACAGTCTGGGCCACGGCAGCTCAGAAAGGTTTTCAATTAAAAACAAAGCAATGACTACCAGCGTTCTGCAGAAATGGATGAAATTAAGTCTATTTTTAATTAGTGTTTAACTATTTTATATTTAACAGCTTTTTTACTCTATTTAGATGTTTTTTAACTGTAGGAGCATGACTTGACTTGTTTTTATTGGATTTACTTCTGTTTGTGTTGTCCTCAGATGTGTCCTGTGCAATTTTGCAGCATTTTTGATGGCTAAAGAAACAGTAACATAGTGACCCTTCCCAAGGCAAAAAGTGGAAGTTGGGTAACCCTGCTGGGAAATGTTTAAACAATGTATGAAGGCAGTTTTGATTTATGTTACTTCTAGCTCTTTTTTATCTTCTGTAACGAGTAGTAAGGAACTCTTCTCATAAAGTAAAATAAGTCCCTTTTCCAATCTGGTAATCCAATAATTGAGATTTTTGGCATATATTTAGTAGAAGTTATCTCCATGAAGGAGAGAGACCTAAGAGGGTCAAACAGTACCCATTTGATACAAACAATGTTTAAAGCAGCATAAAGCAAATTAAGAACATGCTTTTAGATGCTTCCTGCGTCTAATAAAGACCAACACTAGAACAATTGTGAGAAAAAAATTGAGTGTATTACTCTTCACCTGTTTTACTGCTGTGGACTTGTTTTAGAAGGACCCATGGCTTCTCAGTGTTCGATGTGGGATTAAATTGGCTTGGATCAAGTGTCACTTCTTTTTGTTCACCATGTAATTTTTAGGTAGTGTAGTCCCATCAGTAAACTATACTATTCGTGACACATGATTCTCAGCTACTGAGAATCTTCTTTTCTATAATGACAGTTGATGTTTAAGAAATTAGCTTAAGACATCAGTGTAGCAAAGCTCAATTTTATAGTTTAGCATTTAAACAATCAAAAAGACATTAAGCTCTATAGTGCAGATCCCACAGAGTACTGAAAGAAGGAAAGCAGTGGTTGTGGCTGTTACAGGAAACAAGCTGCACCACATGTTTCAAAACTCTGCTGATTTTATTTATTTATTTGTTTCCAAAAGTCCCCAGCAGTTTTCTAAGAAGTTCTACTTGTGCCATCAGCAAATGAAAAGCCCCACACTGGAGATTGCAAACAGGACTGAGACAGGAAACTTATAAAAGTTTCACAAATTTCAGTGTCTTTTGTAATAAGTTCATTTTTGCAAGCCTTGAGTCTTGCAAAGACTAAGCTGAGGCTTTAGATAAATTCTCAAGTGTTTTGGAAGTTTTTTTTATGACTTCACCTAAGTACACCAAAGGCTGTTCTTATTATAGGATGAATTACTGAAAAGAAATACTTAAGCGCTCTGTATTCACTGTTGATTAGAAATGAAAGCCAAAAATGGGAACTACATATATTTCTGCATTTCAGTATGTATACCTGCTCTACTCTGTCCATATAGACATGGCAAACCTGTTTACTTCCTTCCCTTTCCTGGCTCTCTGTTGTGCAGTTGTAGACACAGATACCAGTCCTTAGCATGTTTTTTTTTGTCTAAGGCATCCCAATTCTGCAGTCTCCTGAGGTCACAGTTTGTTCACTTCTCTTGCTGCAGGTTTGAGGTTCTCCAGTTGGTCTCCCTCTTTGCTGAGCTATGGCAACACAGTCCTTAGCTGGGGCTTTTCTGGTGCTGTTTAGCACAAAGACTTCACGTGTCTTGCCCATGTGTTGTGCATCTGAGTGTGGTGGTCGCCTTTGCATCACAGCAGGATGCTTCTGCCCTCCCCACTCCTGCCTCCCCCCACTCTGTCTTGCTCTGGCCCTGGGCTAGGGTCTCTGGCAGTGTCAGTCCCAGGGCCAGAGGGGAGGAGATGGTGGATGTTGGAGACTAAATTCCCTCTGTAGCTGTGGGAGGCAGATCCTGGAATGCTCAGCACAGCCCACCCCTGTGGCATGAATGGGGAGAAGGTGAAGTTGCCAGCCATCCACATGGAGGAGTGTCTGCAGTGAACATCTGCTGTGAGGTTTGCAGCTACCTCTGTGTGTATGCAAGGAAGACCTTGTGAAGATATATATTAAGCCAATTGTATCTTTGCTAAGGCAAATTACAAAGCTTTGGAGATTTTTTCTGAATAAGAACCAAAAAGGCAGGATATTTTTGATAAGTATTTATTGTATGACTGCCAGAAAAGTCTGCCCCATCAACTGCCAGGAGGTAGAAAATACTGAGGTGCTCATGTTAACTTTAATTAAACGCACAACAGCCCTTACCTCACGTGACATTGGCTGTGTGGACTCGGCAGGAGTTAGTATGGACGTTGCCAGTGTTAAGACCTTGCCTTCAGATGTGCTACTGAGCAATTTGGTACAAGATAAGACAAGAGAAAGTAGATTTAAAATGTATATGTTTAACACAAATAATTTTATAGTAGATCTACCTGATGCATCAACAAGGTTCCTTCCACCTAATGGAGTCCATGGGTTGGAGAGCCCTGGGACAGGGATATCGCTCTGTGTTGGTCACAGGAACTAGTGGTGTGAGGCAGCTGCAGAGGTGATTGATCAGTCGATCTGCAGGACTGACAGGTCAATGTAAAAGCTGAATAATCATAGAATCATAGAATGGCCTAGGTTGGAAGGGACCTTAGAGATCAGTTAATCCAACCTCCTTGTCATAATGATCAGCATTTATTACCTCTGGGTGAATTGTGCAGCCTGTATTTATAAAACTAAGTGAATCACCTGGGCTTCCAGGCATATGCTGTGGGGCAGCCACTTCTCCAGGGTGGAAATGTGGCAGACACCTCCCAAGCTACCTTCCTGTGCAAACTACTTGAAGCACCATGTGGGCTGTGGTGACAGCAAGCAAGATCTTTCCAAGTTGAGGTGACCTGCTAAGACAAATCCGTAGTTGCCAGACAGGTTCAAGAGCAAGCCAGGAAGAAAAGTCAGTGAGGAAAAATCAGGATCAGTAGGCTATAAAGTCAGGAGCAGGCTGCCTTCCAGTGCAGCTCAGGTGAGGACCCAGGGCAAGGTTGTGAGCTTAAATGCATCTCCTGAGCCAGCAGGCAGAAGGTACAAGGGAGAGGAGGAAGGTGAGACTCGTCATAGTGCAATATCAGAGCTGACTTTCAATGCACACAGCCAGACCCCTGGGAGAGAGGGGAAAAAGGCTGCAGAACTCATCAGTGCATTCAGGGCCCAGACAGCATGGTCACCCCAAAGCTGACTCTTCCCCAGGCTGAGAGGACCCAGCTCTCTCAGCCTCTTCTTTTGTGTCCTGTGCTCCAGCCCTTGACCAGGTTTGTGCCCTCTGTTGGATTCGCTCCAGCATGTCAGTGTCCCTTTTGCACAAGCGGGCCCCAAATTGGATACAGTCTTCCAGCTGTGGTCTCACAAGCATGAAAGAGAGGGAAATGATTGCTCCCATCCCTGCTAGCTAGAATTTTGCTAATGCAGCTCAAGGTGCTCTTAGTTTACATCTTGGTGAGGGCCTATGCTGTCCACCAGGACTCCCAGGTCCCTTTTTGCAGTTTGCTTTCCAGACAATTGCCTCCCAGCCCATTCTGGTGGATGGCGTTGTCTGTCCCAGGTGTAGAGCTTTGCCTTTGTCTTAATTGATCATCATGGGGTTACCATCAGCCAATTTCTCCAGCCTCTCCAGAACCCATCATTTGGTATCATCTGTGAACTTGCTGGGGGCTCTCTCTGTCCCTAGCTTGAATTGCTGCTGAATACATGAAGCAGTACTGCTGGGAGCAGAAACTGGCCACCAACTGGACCCTGTGACACTGACCATCACACTCTGAGCCTGACAACTTTCTAACTAGTTTTCTACCCACCTATCCAGTCCATGTCTCACTAGTCTGGCTGTAAGGGCACTGAACCAGGCTGGGGCAAAGACCTTGCCAGGTCATGGTATACCATATCTTCTCCTCTCCCCTTCTCCATGAAGTCAATCATCTCATTGCAGGAGGCAAACAAGTTGGACAGGCACTGTTTACCCTGTTTCAATCCATGACTGTTTTCAGCATGGTCTCTAATGGCTCCTGGGAGGATGTGTACAGTAACTCCAGGCACTGTTAATGGCATTGGATTGCATTTTCCTATCCATTTAAGATGTTTGCAGCCCATGTTTTTTTCTAATTACTTTGACATACAGTTATTCCCAGTCCCAGAAGGTGTGCTCATCATGGAAAAGTAAAGGAAGTTCTCTCGGCGTGCAAGGGGATGCTGATGGGAAAGTCACAGCTTGCACTACTTGCTGCCAGACTGAAACTGCCTTTGGCCCTGGGGTATAAGGGTCACTCAGTCCTGCAGGCATCTACCCATCTCCTTTTGTTGCCTTTCCACCCCCAAAATAGTTCAGTTCCAGGTCTAGAAGGAATAGGAGCACCAAAATATGTCAAACTCAGACTGCTGTTTTCACAAGCCGCACTGTTCTACAAGCAGCAGAAACGAAAACAAAATTTACGAAAAGCAAACATGTATTCTGTCCCTTTCCCTTCTCAGTTTCTCTGCCTGCCTAAAATTAACATTGTACTTATCCAAACTTTCCTAGCATGTGACAGTATGAGTACAGTGCAGTCCTGCTGAGTTTGCTAATAACACTTTTATTCAATTTCTGTTTGTTAATATGCCCAATATTTTGACTTTTGATTTCTCAAGAGAATGACAGATTTTGTCAGAAATGTGTTTTAAAATCTGGAAGGAAGTAAATTATTAATAGCTAAACAAGGTAGTCCTCAGAACTCAGAGAAATATGCAGACAGAAGAAAAAAAAATAAGATATTGGTAATATTCCCTTTTGTAAGGTCCAAACCACAGTGCTTGTAAAGAAACTACATGATTGGTGTCTTACTGGATATTGTTTTAAAAGTACAGAGCAAGCTCTTATTCATGTAAATCATTCCTGTACATTTACATCTCTATGGGTTTGCAGGGTACAGCTGCTCTGTGTCTTGTCTCCCTCGGGGGTGTCACGCAGGTGATGGTAAGGAAGTTACTTAGTAGAGATTACCAAGTCTAGTATCCTTGTTTCTTGAAATATTGGGCTCGCCCAACCACGTCGCTGGAGTAGTCGTTGTTGGTGGTGCCGATGTCCATTCTGTCATAGCTTCGGACATTCCTATCACCAAAGTTGTAGGCAGCAATCCCACCTGAAATGAAACACCAAAAGAACTCACATGGACTTAAGGAAATAAGGAAAATTCCATCCTGATATGGAGTAAACTGCTGGCCCCATTCAGGTAAACCACAGAGCTATTTGTTAACCTGAATGGCTTTGGAGACTCCTCATGGTCAGATAAGGAAAGCTCAGCTCTTATGTAGGCTAGATTTCACGTGTATAAATATTTGTCGTATAGTGGTGGAAATTTAGCAAGGCTGCCACACTAAGGAAAGGCAGAACTACAAAGAATTGACAAAGCTTGTCTTTTGATGGTGTAAAGGTGGTAGCCTCTTAGTTTTGGGGTACTCAGGGACTAATTCAGTATGTTATCATCCTAAAGTTTTCTTCTCTTCTGGACAAAATTGGTGGACTGTTACCTTACCTTTCAGCTGTTGATCCTTTGTCCACTGTGGGAACTTCCCCTGTATTTTCTTTATCATCTCAATAAGTATGCCTGTGCCCTGGGTAAGATGAGTTTCGCTGTTCCATTGCCCCTCAGGTGTATGTGATTTTTTGTCAACCTAGAAATATCAAAACAACAAAAAGAAGTAATTTCCCTGATGTAATGGATAATATGTTTAGGAGGCTTCCTTTTATTTATGTGCTATGTGTTTATCAGGTTTTAGTGGAGTATCAGCAAATACCTGCATTAAACCAAATCCATTTCCATTGTCGCCCAAGCCATTCCTCAGCGCTTTGCCAGCATGAGATTCCCGGGAGATGATGCCAGCAATCAGGGCTGGTTCAACACACATTTTTTCGCCAACTTTCTTGATGATTGCTTTATATTGATCCATAGCTCTCAGGTCCCGTTCAGCAATCTTTTCTGAAGCCCTAAGTCCTGTGATTAAAATAAAAAATAAAGATATTTGATTATCAACTTTTAAAACTCAGAACTCTTACTTCTCATGATACAGACAGAATTACAACAGATTTTTGTTTGCCTCGTCTCCAGGAGGAGATAGGTGATCACCTACATGGATATTATGCAGGCTCAGCAGCTAGTGTATGTTCAGCACTTTGGAAATGTGAAGGATTTGGGTTTATTGTACCATGGAGAAATAAAGCCATCACAGCAGAAGACTGATACTCACCACAGTAGGATAAGCCCTCTGCCTTTGCAGTTTTGCATGAAGCCCCAGGGGTTTTAATTCTCTCTACACTGCCGTAGCAATCCGTGCGGCCCTGGGAGACACCTGCAGAGGTGACAATGGAAAGGTTCAAGCAGTAAAAACCTTTTGTGGCTGCAAGTAAAACCCAAGGGGAAGCTGCACACTAGAGAGGACAGGCTGCGGGGCTGCCCCTGTCACTCCTTGTGATGGAGAGGAGATGAGGCCCTGCCCTGCACCCACCCATTCCTCAGAGGCTGCCCCTCCTTCTTCAAGACTCAAAGGGGGACCTAAGCACTCTCCTCTAGTAGAGTTTAATGGCAACTGAGATTTTGGGGATGGGGGGCAAGGAGGTGTGTCAATATCTCTTCCTTCCCAGCTCTAGGAAACATTTTCCTGGCTGCTTGGGGTGAGGCAGCAAGGGATGCTGGACTTACCCAGGAGGGCAGCAAGGCCCAGCAGCACGAGCATCTGGTACATGGGGTGGTTCTTCCTGAGCACGCAGAACAACCTGAAAATCAATCAGTCAGCACTGGCACATGTGACGACATGAATGTATCTCACCGCTTACTGGATAAACACAAGGAAACTTGTCCTGAGCTGATGGGATGTTTGTCTTGGTTGGGTAGGCAAAACAATACATAAATGCAGTCACATCTCTTTTTATAAGAGACCCCAAAGGCATCTCTCCTGATCCAGCAGGAGACTCATGACCTCTCACTTTTGGTGTTTCAAACCTGATTCTTCTACAGTATCTTGATAACTTCCTCCAAATCTCAAACCCCAATATTTAATTCAGAAAAAAATAAAATTAGTAATGTTCAGTGCCCTCTGCTGCTGTCCTCCACCTCCCCCTCCGCCAAGAATGCCCTTATTCCCTGCTATATATGCTGTATTCAAACTGCCTTCATCACACCTGGACAGCTTTGCCTGAATCTCCTGAGAGTTTGTTTATACTCAGAAGGTGGCATTTTCAAGATGCAACCTGTCTAAATCACTGTGGCTATCTGCTTTAGAGTGATTTGTACTCTGGGACCACCAATTTCCCTTTACTGGCTTTGAGGGGAGCCTAGGGAAGCAGGCTCACGTATGGATGAGAGCCATATAAATTTAGGGTAACCTAAAGCCAGAGCTACAGGACAACTCTTGGTACCCTTATTCAAACAGAAATCTCACACAGCAAAAGGTGCAGCCCCTGGGCCCCTGAAGAGATGATGTTGCTGAAGGGAATGAGAAGAGCTCCTACCCTGAGTGGTGGTATCTTACCTACCTGTCTGCAGCTCAGCTTCTGGCATAGGACTGGGATTTGGGGAAGTTTAATATATAGGGAAAGCTACCTTTCATTCGGTAGTAACCTGACACTGTGATGATCTCATGTAAACAGAACATATTGCACTATAGACATTGGCATGGTGGCAAGTATGTTCTTGGGAGTGGCATTTCCCAGATTTCCAAAAGGAAAAAAAACCACTGTATTTTTCTCTGGGCATTTCTCCACCTACAGCTTGTATTTCAGACCCTATTCCTGGAGGAAACCGTGGTGAAAATTGAACTAAAGACCCTACATCCAGCTGTTCTGCAGGTGTTTGCCCCAGTCCTCTCCTGGCATCCTGGGCTGTGACCATCCTGCTCCAGAAAAGAGGGCTAGGATCAATCCTCAGATATCCCAACCCTGGCATGCATCAAGAGGAGTGTGGCCAGCAGATCAAGAGGGGTGATTCTCCCTCTTTACTCTGCTCATGTGAGACCCCACCTTGAATACTGCGTCCAGTTCTGGTGTCCCCACCATAAGAGAGACATAGATCTGTTGGAGTGTGTTCAGAGGAGGGCCACAAAGATGATCCAGGGGCTGGAGCACCTCTGCTATGAGGACAGGCTGCGGGAGCTGGGATTGTTCAGTCTTGAAAAGAGAAGACTTCGGGGGGACCTAATAGCTGCCTTCCAATACCTGAAGGGAACCTACAGGAAGGCTGGGGAGGGACTTTTTACAAAAGTGCCCAGCGATAGGACAAGGGGAAAGGTATTTAAGTTAAAGGAAAACAGATTTAGATTGGATCTTAGGAAAAAATACTTTGGTACAAGGTGGGTTAGACTCTGGAATAAATTGTCCAGAGAAGTTGTGGATGGCCCCTCCCCTGGGGTGTTTAGTTATATCAAGGCCAGGTTAGATGAGGCCTTGAGTAACATGGTCTAGTTGAGAGGTGTACCTGCCCATGGCAGGGGGGTTGGATTAGGTGATCTCTAAGGTCCCTTCCAACCTATGACATTCTACAATTCTATGTAGTATGGAGGAGCTTGCAGCCCTACTGCCTGAACTTGCACTGTCCTGAGAGACTGGCCATGTCCACATTGGTGACCAATCTTCCCCTGACTGGAGGGGTGCTGTCATGACAGTGTGCTCTGCTGATATTTTTTGTTGGCAGAAAAAAATAATTATGCCTCCTCATTTTCATTTTATTTCTATTATAGATTTTAATGAGCCCAACACATCTCTGAAACTATTCAAACAACCCTTTGCCTCAGTATTTCTCTCAGCGGTGAGGGGAAGACATTTCTGGCATATACCTGCTTGCTAGTAGAGAGACTGTCATGATCCAGGCCTTTCCAATCAGCAAAACTTCTTTTGCCACCCAGGGACAGACACCAATGCTAAGGATACTGGTGTCATGTTAGTCAGGGGCTATTTGCCTGCAATTGCCCAAGTGAGAGGGTCTTGGAGGCCCTTGCCTCCATCCACCAAGCTCCTTGCCTGCCCTCGAGAGAGACCCCTCCCTCCCTGTGCTCCCCAGCCATATTTCTGCACACTCACAGCACTTTCTCCACCATTTCATGTGCCAAAAATACCACAGGGGAGAAAAGTATCACCTGCTATGGGTGCAAGAGTCTGGCTGGTGTCTTTGGAGGCTGCGATCAATTTCCAAAGGGTGCATAAGGGGTAGGAACAAAGAGCAGGAGGTCTTGTTGAGCATAGCTTTATTAATGGTGGGGCTGACTTGTTCTTCCAATGCTTTTCTTTGCAAGTCCGTGCCTCCTTCAGCAGTGTCTCGTCCCACCTCTGGCAGTGTTTTCACAAGGTAGAGCCTCTGCATGAGGCTGCCTGTGATGAAAGGAGGGGCACGCTGCTCCCACAGGTTTACCGTCATTACTTAATACCCTGACAGAGGAGTGCCTCACAGACCTGGCATACTTGCTCAAGAAGATTGATATTTTGAAATTGTCTCTTGGAAATCTCACGGAAGTAGCTGATGATGAATAGTGAAGTGGGGATTTCCCCGTACTTTTAGTTGAAGGAGGGCAAATAACAGTGAGTCAGTTCTCAACTGACTGCTGAACCTCTCTCTGTCTTCTCCAAGCACTCCTCAGGCCCCATTTCACCTCTCCTACATGGCTGGTGCGACCCATGGTGGGACCACAGTGCCAGCTCTCCCAGCCACTCTGCTCTTCTCTGCCCCTGCAGTTTATTCTCCATGCTGGTCTGCAGTCAGAGGAAGGAGGTGGACCAAAATGACCTTCTTAAAATGTTGCTTCTTTGCTCTCAAAGCAGAGCACAGCTTTGGAGGGAGAAGGCCTACAGAAGCCAAAGTGCCATTTGGTGTGCTAGGTGAGATGTTTCAGTCCAGGCCCATTATACCTGGGCCATTAGCATCACTGTTTCGCTGACTCTCCCTTGGACAGTACTTGAACAACTGACGCCTGAACTGTGTTGGTGCTCCCAGAGCCAACATGGTGAGCTCCTCTGTGCACCAAGCTGTGCAGCATCCACTTGGGCAGCTCTTTCATTGTTTCTCACCATGTGCTGAGAAGATTGTATCTACATTTTCCATTCTTCCCTCTGGGTCCATCTTCACAGGCCATGGGAGCACAGAGTGACCGAGGTTGGAGAGGACCTAGGGAGGTTTCTAGTCCAACTCCTTACTCAAGCAGTACCAACTTTGAAGCTAGATGGGGTTTCTCAGGACCTTGCACTGTCTAGTTTTGAATATCTTTGAGAATGGAGATTGCCCAGCCTCTCTTTGCCACCTGATACAGTGCTTAACCACCCACCATTTTTGTGAAAAATTCCTTTTCTTTTATCAAATCCAAATTTGCCTTGTTGCAACATGTGACTGTTGCTTCTGACCCTCTTGCTGTGCACCTCCAAGAAAAGCATGACTCCATCTTTTCTATAAGCTCCACAGAGGTATCTGGAAATGTCTCTCAAAAGCCTTTTCTTCTCCAGGCTGAGCAGACCTGGTTCCCTCAGCCTCTGCTTGTGCTCCAGCTTGGTGGCCTCCACTGGCCTATAGCATGTCAGGGTCTGTTTTGCACTATGGAGCCCAAAACACAGCACAAGTGCTGAGTAGATAGGAAGGATCACTTCCCTGGACTGGATGGTGATGCTTTTCCTAATGCAAGCCAGGATGCTGTTAGCTGCCTTTACTGCAATGGTAACTCTCTTGTGGTCAGCCTGTTTTCCACCAGGCCCCCCTCCCACCAGCTTTCTCTGTAGAGTTGCTTTCAGACTGGCTGGTCTCCAACTGGTGCCTGAGGCTTTTCCGTCCCAGGTGCATGACTTGGCAGCGCTTGTAGTTGAATTTCATAAGATTCTTGTTCAGCCTGTCCACATTCCTTTCACCTGCAGTCCTGTCCTGCCAAGCACCTGTGAACTTGCTGGGAGTGTTCTCCATCCCTCGTTGGTACTGAGGACACTAAATAGTACTAGCTGCAGCATCAGTCCCCATGGGATACCACTAGTAGCTGGCCAGCAGCAAGTCTTTAAATTGTGGGCCATCAACCTCAGCCCAGCCACCGCATAGAGCTCTTCAGCCTCTGCTGTATGTCAGCAGGACAGTCTGGCTACTAAAATAGCTTGATTATGCAGTAAGGGCATGACACCTATCTATAGTACATACTGACAGGATCGTGATGATCCAGTCAATAAATAGTATTCAGGAACTATCAGGAGACAGCTTTTCACCCATCACAGCAGTCACATGGGGGAGACAATTCTGGTTTACCCAGAAGACAGGCTATAGGGCACTGGATCAGATCCAATATCAGCTACTCTTTACTCCTCTCTCCTGTGTCTGGCAAGACAAGCTCTTCCTGAACTTTGTCAGTTCCTTGATCTGAATCAACTGAGAGTTGGATGAATAGGCCCGGAATTCATAAAATAAAAGCTGATTTAAAGGACAGAAATGGGAAAGCTTTTCTCCTTGCCTGTCTTGCAGGAAGAAACCTTTCCAGGTCTTGGAAGCAAAGTGTTTCTGGAAGGCTGAGGGCTGTAACAGAACAACTCATGAGGTAAAGGCACAAGAGAGTCTCAGGTCAGCTTCGTATTTATTGTGTGGGTTTTTTTCATGCTCTTGAACATTTCTCCTCTATTGCTAATTAGCTTAATAAGAGTGATCCTAGTTATTCCTTCAAGGGATAAACTAGGCTGATATAAGCTTCCCAAAGCAATTAAGCTCAATTAAGATGTGGGAGGTTAGCCAGCCTGT